TCTTTGGGATTCCCAAAGGCTAATCTGGTAAAGTTTCTTGAAGGACGCACACATTGTGTTGCTTTTATGTGTTCTCAGAGTTTGGAGAAAAAGAGACGTCTGAACAGGCCTGGGAGGTGGATGGGATAAGGGTTCCTAATGAAATTCTTGTCCTGATAGAAACAGCTTTCCCCAGGGCAATGTTCCTGAGCTTTTCTTCACTAAAGTCATTTGCAGTTTTCTTGAAACGTCCTCACATAAGGCCCATGATCATCCTGTGTCCCTCAAGAAACGTCACGTAGCGTGTCCGTGACATCCTCCCGATCATTACTGTGTTTTAGCCCATTGCTGCCACCACTGTGTCTGCCAGTCCACCTCTGTGAAGGCCTCCTCTTTGTCAAGGCTGCTTTACTTGACATGCATACAATCCCAGTGGTCATTCTCACACTTTCAACTGTAACAGCACACAAACAAGCAGATTTGAAAGCACAATAAGTTGCAAATCCTTTCTGAAAATGTACTCACTGTACGGCTGGGGAGTCAAACCACTACCCTTTCAGTCAGCAGGTGAGCACTTAATCACTGCACACGGGGCTGCGACATATATGTGTGTGTGTAGGTATGTGTATGTAGGTTTGTGCACATGTAGATGTGTATTAAACATTTTAAGGCAAGGTATTGCATGGACCTCCCAGGGTAGGGGTACAAGAGGCTGAGGAGAAAGCCAGCACACAGCCCTGTGGAATTTCCAGTCTGGCTTGTGATTCAGGAAACATGAAAGGCTGAGCGGGGCAGTTACACAGCTAAGCTCCTGTTTGATTGGTACAAAGCATGCTAGCTGTGGCACTCTGAGCAGAGAGAGAGAAAGGGCATTTTTCACTCTGATAATTCCCTGGGAGTGAATGATAGCCAGGGTAGATTTCATCTCTTTCTTAGTCCATGATTTAAAAAAAAGAAAAGGTTTCATTGTGCTTCTTAAAAAACGAGGTGTCCATCTTCCTTTTCATTTCCTCTGTCTTTCTTCTGTGTTAATTGAACTTGAGTGTGCGTCACTCAGGGCTCCAGGCTGTCCTGCGTGGGAGCGTTGGTCCTTTGGGCCTGCGGTGGCTTAGAAACGATGATGGTGACGTGACTTGAAGCTGTGTTAACGGCTGTATAACCCCACTGCTCTTCCGGACACGTCAGAGTCCAGCCATTGCGTGTCTTCAGGTTTGTCCCCGGTGGGCACGATTTAAACCAAGTCCACTGCCATCCAGTAGCTTCTGACTCATAATGACCTTATGTCGGGTCTCTAGGATTGTAAATCTCCACGAGAACAGACAACCTCCTCTTTCCCCAGTGGAGTGGCTGGTGGGTTTGAACCTCTGGCGCTGCTACAGGTCCAAGTTGAGTTTGCCACAGATTTCTGGGATGCAGGGTGTCAAGAAGACTGTCTTACTTGGGGTGACGAGCTTCCAGTTATCTATTATGGGGATGGCTCGTTTGTATCCTGCCAAGTGACTCCAAAGACTATGTTGTGACATAAGGAGCTAGCTGAGCCACTTAAAACGGGAACAACTTAAATACTATTTCTATTTCTGGACTGGCTTAATTTTCATTAGAACTTTAATTAAATGCTTCCTTTTCTCCATGGCCTTTCATGTGCTTTCACTTATTAATAATTGCCGAGTAAAGAGAATCCCATTCCAACAGCTCCCAATTTAGCACGATCATATCGTTGTTCTTTGTTCAGGGTTGCTGGGCCGCAGAGCCCTGATGGGAAGGCCCTGTCAGTCCTGCGGTGGAGACCAGAAGGCCGTGGGCGCGGGGAAGCACGTTTCTGCCGTCCAATGGTGGGCGAGGGGATTGCAGGAGGCGCGTGGGCGCGAGTGAGCGCCGCTGCGGTGCTGCAGCAGGCGGTGACCTTGCCAGGGCTCAGTGCGCTGGCTGGCATGCTAGGATGCTGAGAGCCAGGCTTCCCGCTAGGGAGAACACCCGCGAGGTTCACCACCGCAGTTTGGGAAGCAAGCGATTTGTCCTTTACCTGTATGTGAGTGATCTCTGTGAACGTGAAGGACGGACGTGCTTTTGTTTGGCAAGAGGGCGAGAGATGACGGAGGGGGTGGGGTAACAGTGTTTCATCAGCCGATATCGGAGCCCTGTGTTTGACTCAAACTTATTGCCATCGAGTCGATACTTGTAGGGCAGGGTAGAACTGTCCCTGTGGGTTTCCAAGACAGTCACCCCAGCAGATCACAGCTAACACGTAACCACTAGCCGCCAGGGCTCCTCTGGTTTTGCCTAGGCTAAAGAAGACTGGGTTACTGGTTACTGGGTCGGAAGGGGTCTTTGAAGACTAAAGCAGAGGTGGAACACCTGGCGGCACACCGGTATGTGTTGTGGTGTAGTGTTTACACTTTGGGCTGCTAACGGCAAGGTCAGCAGTTTGAAACCACCTGCTGCTCAGTGGGAGAAAGACTGGGGCTTTCGACTTTTGTGAAGAGTTACAACCTTGGAAACTCACAGTCTTGGAAACTCACAGGGTCGGTTCTGCCCTGTCCTATAAGGTCTCAATGAATCGGCTTGACTCAGTGATAGTGAGAGAAAGCAACGTTTCTCAAACCAAAACCACCAAGCCGGTTCAGATTCATGGCCACCTTCTGTGGGTCCGGATAGGTCTGTACTCCATCGCCTCCCTACCTCAAGGCTCGCATGCAGGGGATAGCTGGCAACCCCGGAAGACTTTCCTGGTTGCTACTCCTGGGGGTTGGGTGCTTTTGGCATCTGGAGGACAGAGGCCAGAAGAACCAAACCCAATCACTGCTCTCCAGGAGGTTCCAACTCACAGCGACCCTAGAGGACAGAGTACAACTGCTCCACCGGGGTCCCAGGCCTACATCCTGGGGAAGCCACTGCCTCGGCTCTCTTCGGGGGAGCTGGTGGAGCACACTGCAGACGTCCAGTTCACAGCCCACTAGTTACTGTACTCCGCTCAGGGGCTCCTGGTAAAGCCGGCTGGGAGGCGTTCTGAAATGGCCAGACAGACTTCCGCTTCTTCTTTCTTAAACCGAAGGATTTTAAACTGGCTTTCCTGAGATAATCATTGTCCCACGCAGTGCCTGATGCACAAAGACTCACCTGGTTAATCTCCCCTTCCCCCAATCCCATCCTCAATTCACCAGCCGTTGGCTCCCTCAGCACTATGGGCATTTTGATTTGGGTACTTCTCTGCAGTGGGGCTGCGCTGTGCACTGTAGGGTGTTTAGATGGCAGTAGCCCCTCCACATGTCCTCTGGAGGCCAACTCCCCCTCGCTGAGAACTGCTGTGCTAGGTCCCTGGTCAGTCTCCCAGGGCATCTAGGCCTCCACTTACCCTTGTGAGCCTGGAAACCGGAGACACTGTTGTTTAGGGAATCACTGTAAGTCGGCCACAGTGCCAGCCATGGGGGCAGGCAGACTCATTTTCAGCCTTCTGGGGAAGCAGCTGTGTGGAAGGTTTGTTCCTCTCTGCCTGAAGTCCTTTCCGTGTCCTTACGAGCACAGCTTGGGCTTCAGCAGGGTGTGCACTGGAATCCAGATTCGGCTCTTCCTTTGCTGGGTGCCCTTGGCAGAGTTTCTTACCCTCTCTTAGCCCGTTTCTTCATTCTGAAAACAGAAAGCATGGTACGGAGGTCGCCCTCATGGGCATGTGTGAGGACAAGGGGCGAGCATGTGTGTGAAGTGCTTGGTACAGCGCCTTCAGCCACACTGGCAATGCTCAGTGGATGGGAACCCTTGTGTAGGTGCTGGGGCACCGAGACCAGAAACATCAGTCTGTGGTTTGCAGGCACCCCGGAGGTGGAGTGGTAATGTACTGCACTGCCAACTGCAAGGCCAGCAGTTCGAAACCACCAGGCTTTCCTCAGGAGAAAGATTAGGCTTTCTGCTCCCTTAAAGAGTTACAGCCTTGGAAACCCACAGGGCAGTTCTACCCTGTGCTATAGGGTCACTATGAGTCAGAATTGACTCCTAACCTTACTGAGTGAGGACAGTCAAGCCAACCCACTCCTTCAAGTCGATTCTGACTCCTAGCGGCCCTATATGGGGACTCAGAGGCTGCGCATCCTTCAAGGGAGCAGATAGCCGCATCTTTGTCCAGAGGAGCAGCTGGCTGGTGGGTTTGAATTGCTGGCCTTGTGGATAGCTGTCCTGCATTTACTGAAGCATCGCTGAGGTTTCCACTGAGTGACTGCTTTTCCAAAATTACTCTCCAGTATTTTGGCTTCAATAAAACCCATAGTATTTATGAAGAGCAATCATTTGTATAATCATTACTTGTTGGCATTTGGATGATCCTGGGGGCTCTGTTGGTGCAGTGGGTTAAGCGCTGGGTAGCTAATGACAAAGTCAGCAGTTTGAAACCACCAGCTGCTCCATGAGAGAAAGATGAGGCTTTTTACATCCAAGAAGAGTGACAGTCTTGAAGGCCCCCGGGGCAGATCTACCCTGTCCCCTAGGGTTGTGGCTGCTGTGAGTCCGGATCACCACACTGGCAGCGAGCTCTGAGTTTGAGGAGCCTGTTCTGGGGCATCTCATGAATTTGGCAAGCTGCCCACGGAAAGGCTGGCATTTGAGCCACCCAGGGGAGAAAGGCCTGGTGATCTGCTTCTGGAAAATCTGCCAGTGAAAGCCCCGGGGAGCCCAGTTCTACTGGGGCACACAGGTGGCCCCATGAGTTGGAGACAGCCTGACATCACTCGGTATACCCCAACCAAACTCACTGGCACCAAGTCTATGCCAGCTCACAGTGACCTGATAGGACAGTGGAACTGCCCCTGTGAGTAACTATGGGAGTAGAATCCAGCCCAAGCCTACGAAGCCATTGTAGTTGTGGGGCTGCCTGAGTAACACCAGGCCATGGGAGCCCCTGCAGCCCACCGAAGAGAAGAGGGACACTCCGTGGGGGCACGGGCAGGCTGACAGCCACAGGACGGTCTTTGCAGCGTTCGCGAATGGAATCGCATGTTTCCGGGACTGATGTTGCCATATTTCCTCCTCCACAGATTCCTGTGTCATCAGTGACCACCCCAAAATACAGATCAAGAACTCCACCTTCTGCATGACTGCCTACCCGAACTTGACAATGATCAACTTCACCAGCCAGGCCAATAAGACGTTTGTCAGTGGGAGTGAAGAGTATTTCAAGTAAGATGCTCTCTTTTTGGTTTGCTCTGTGTTCTAAGAGGGACCCAGTGCAGGAATGGCCATCCACAGTGCACCCCAGAGGCACGGGCTGCCCCTCTCTGCAGCCTCCCCACCAAGCTGTGTCATCGGACCTGAGGAAGACGCTGCCCATCCCAGGTGTCTCTCTGGCGGGAAATCCATGTACAGCAGGGAGAGTGAGGCAGACTAATGAAGCAAGCCGTTGTGAGGACTTCCATCCCCAGCCCTCCCCACCTGAGGAGGGGACCCATGTGCGTGCACTGCCTGTGCCAAGCTTATTGGGTCGATGCACACCCCACATGGTGCACATTCCCACAGCAGCGAGGTGTCCAATCAGTGACTGGAAAAGAGAAAAGTCATGCTAGCTGATGTCGAATGGGGAGGGGGTGGGTGAACCTGGTGATCTGATGACGTATGCCAACATAGTCCATGCAGACAGAAAAGGTGCAAAGGTTTATAAAGCTGTCCTTGACTGTCTTTACTAGGCCTCTGGGATGAGGCTTCATTTCCAAGAGGAAATATCTCTGAGGGATTCCTTGGTACTCACCGTAGGGCCCTTGTTGGAGCCTGGAGTTGTTCAGAAAGCCAAGGTGCTGTGATATTGTTGACGAAGTGATTTACTTAATTGGGGGGGGGGGGCGACCCCTGGTGGTACAATGGGTGGGGCCCTGGGCTGCTAACTGAAAGGTCAGTGGTTTGCACCCACCAGCTGCCCCATTGAAGAAAGATGCGGCAGTCATGTCCAGAAAGATAACAGCCCTGGACGCTCTGGAGCAGTCTTACTCTGGCCTGTAGGGTCACTGTGAATCCACTCCATGGTTATGGGTGGAGAGATTGTAAGTTCACTTTCATTGCTGGAGAAATAGGGTCCCCCACGTTTGGCCTCCAAGCCCCAGTTCGGTCCCATTCAACTCTGGAGTTGTGAGAAGTGTGAGTGTGAGAAGGTGCCTGGGAATAAAGGCCTGGGTATCTGCCCTGCAGAGCATGGTCACAAGCTGCGAAAAGGTCTCCCTAGAGGAGATTCACTAGGTGGCCGGAGAACAACGCTCCCAGCTGGACCCCGAGTGCCGCTGCTACTTGCCTTTGCCACAGAGGGCCAGAGCTTTCTGGACGCGCCTGCAAAGTCCGGATCCGGCTGCTCCTTTGTTCAGGCTCCCCAGGTAGTTTGAGTCACAGAGAAACACAGGATTACCGGCTCGGCAGTTCCACCCAGAGTGCACAGGTCAATGACTGCACAGATGACTAGATTGCCTGAACTTGTTCCCAGGCCTCGCTGCCCCTGGAGATGATCTCTTGTCCCCAAGAGTGAGACTGCCCTGCCCATTTGCCTGCCCGGGCCCTCTGGGGGTTGGCAGGCTGGTCACGCCTTGCCCAGCACCTCCACGTTGCCGGCGGCCATGCCGCACCACCAGCAGGCAGCCCCTTTCTGTTGGCAATTGGTTATTGGTGAACATCTTTCCCGAACCAGGCCCAGCAGCCCTGGCTGCGGGCCAGGCCCAAGGGAACCGGAGCTCCGATGCAGAGTAGCATGTGTTGTCATTGAGAGTAAGCAGTTTCCACTGTGTAGTCATTTAAAAAAGGAGACGAAGACAAGAAAAAAAGATAACCATGCAAGTGCTGTCTGACTCTATTCTCAGGAAAGACTGGAACAATATTGCAAAAGCAGAAAAACTATCTTGACGGTGGTATAGAGTTTTCTTAGTGACCTTAGATTTAAAAACAGCCCCTTGGGGCTGCCCGGGGACCTCTACCTCTGCCCCCTGCCCCATGCTGTTGGATTTGCTCTCCTTCTCCTGGGCGTCGTGAGCTGGCAGAGTTCTTGGATTCAGGTCCTAACACAGGCACAGCCTGCCCAGGGCCACGAGCGGCCTCAAAGCACCTAATGAAGGGCAAGGCACCTCCAGCCGGATGCACAGACAGGCGGCCCCTGGCAGCCTGCTCTCCTGAGACTCTGCTGCAGCTCAGAGGGCGTGTTGGGATTTTGTTCAAAGCTCCGGGCTCAGCAGGGAGCTTGAAGCCTGCAGACGGTCATCCCTCGTCCCCCTTCCCTCCCTCCTCTTTCCAACTCTTAGGTATTTTGTGCTGAAGATTTCTGCAGGGATCGAATATCCTGGCGAGATCAGGTGGCCACTAGCGTTCTGCCTCTTCCTGGCTTGGGTCATTGTGTACGCGTCCCTGGCGAAAGGAATCAAGAGTTCGGGAAAAGTAAGAGAGCTGATTTATGTGTGGAGCAGGTGCCAGAGTCTGGGAGGCTTCAGGGGGATGTGGGGGGCTAATTCTGATTCTGTTCCTGAGTAGCTGGGCGCCTTAGGCAAGACTCCACCCCGAGGTGCTGGAGGGGTGGGGGGAGTTGCCTCGCCATTCCAGTGGGGCTGTCTGGGTGAATGCACACAGGGGTCCTGCTGTGTGGTGGTGGTGGTGGGCTGCTGTGTTAGCTCCTTGCTTTCCCGGCAACAAAGAGGGGCCCCCTAGATAGGATCCACTGTCTCTCCCTAAGCTCCAGCCACTGGCTTGTCGCCTCTGGGTCTGACTGCCAGCTGAGGACTTGCTGCTGCCAAGAAGCGAAGAAAGAGCCAAGTTGTGACGCGGATTCCTTCCCCTCACTCCCACCATCATCCTCACTCCATTCCCCGTGCCCAGCGCCGGACCCTCCCTTCCCACGTGCTCCTAGCTGCTCACCACTGCAGGGTGGGCCAGTCACATAGATGCCAACCATGTGTCAGCACCTCTAGGGACACTTGAATTTCTCTTAGGTCTGAGGAATGAGGGGGTGATGGTGGGATAACAGGCCATCGGGTGTGGAGGAATGGTTTCCGTATAGTTGTTCAGGCTGGGATGCACTGGGATTATGTCACAAACGGACATCAGAAAGATGAGGGCTCATGGGGAAAATGGTGTGTGTCACCTCCCCGCTCCCAGGCATGTGCACCAGGCTCTCAAACCTGGTACCCATTGGCCACCTAGACCATTGGTCTTCTGCCTGTGTATGGCACCATGCTGGGGCCTCTTGGTGGCAGATCTTTCTGGGGCTCTCACCTTTGTCGTCTTATACCAGGCAGACTTGAACACTGGACGCTGACAGACTGGTCAGGATTGCCTGAAGCCAAAGGGCTCAGGATATCACACAGGGAGGCACGAGTCAAACCGGACTGGAAGCGAGCAGAGCTGGGCCCAGGGCTGGAGAATGTGCATGGTGTGCGGGCTGTATAGGGCCGTCTCCACTCGGGCCATGACACCTGACCGGGCTCCTTCATCTGCGCTTAGTTTTTATTGATAATTATTATCTCCTGGGAAATGAAGAACCAGGGGCCCAAGCGCGGAGTTGATTGCCTCCACGCTGGACTGCTGACTGCCAGGCCGTCCTTGCCAGCCACCAGCCTCTGGGGCAGAAAGAGTTGTGGCCTGGGAAACCGACAGGGACAGTTCTACTCTGACCTGTACGGTTGGTAGGAGTTTGGAGCGGTCTCGATGGCAGTGAGTTTTGACACGACAACAAGCCCTCTTCCTCTGAGCTCTTCCAGGAGACCTTGGGGTCCTTATTTCTGAAGTTACAGCAAATAGACCGGACGGCGTCCATCTACATGGTTTCCAGGCGAGCGGGGGTTGACTCTTCCTCCCTGGCCCAGGTTTCCTCTTCTGCAGAATGAGGGCTGGGGTTAGGCTGCCCTTTGGGCCAGTATGCCGCTGAACGGAGATCATGAGACCGGATCGGTTTTCTAAGGCAGCAGGGGGATGGGGAAACTCGAGCATGCTCCTCATAACAACATCCCGGGGTCTGGAATCTCTTGGTCCTTGCCTTCTGCAGCTAGAAACTCAGCTTGGGCTGGGGAGTTCTATGCCCCACATCCCCCCTCTGGTGCCCCCCTGGCCCAGCCCAACTCCATCCCGTAGTTGTTCAGCAGGAGGAGCCACCAGCACCTCTCCGGCAGGACTGCCACTGGAAAGGAGGTACCTGTATCCCCATGTTGGACACAGGGATGCTGAGGCTCATTGCAGGCACGTATTTAGACTGAGGTCACATGGTTCTTCAGTGGCAGTGTTGGGATGTGAACCCAGGACGATCTTACCCTGACCCTTACACTGTGCCCTTGCATCCTCTTCTCCTCCAAGGAGGGAGGCTGGGAGCACACCCACAAACATGCCTATGTGTGGCTGCCCATGTATCAGAACCCCTGTGCCAGACCCTGCTCAGTCTTCACGGACTGGGTGGCTTCGGAAGTCAGGGGTGGACCTGGCCTGGCCCCGATCTGCAGACTCAAGGGTAGGATGAATATCTCGAAGGCCTCTTTTTCGCCGGCCGAGTCTGTGATTTTGTCGGGTGTGGTGGGTTTGGTGTTCCAGCCACTTATTTTCCACTGGGTTAGGATTTAGTCCTTGACATTAGGCTTATGGCACCAGTGGAACAGGGATTGCCAGCTGGTCGGGTTGTTTCCTATCTGCCTCATGGAGGAAGGCTTCCAGCCAGGGATCGGTGAATGCCTTGGGCCTCGCAGAACCAGGCAGTGGCATGGAGAGGCCTGCTTCTGCTCTTGCACCTCTGCAGTCTCTGTAACTGGCAACCAGGTGGCTCCTTCACACTAGGAAACACATCTATGCATTAGCTCCCCACTTCCTGCAGAGTCAAGGCCAAAGTCCTCATGGATACCCCATGGACGGTACAGGATCTGCCCTTTCCTGAGCCCCTGCCTTCTGTCTTTCTCTCTTAGCCCCGGCTCCCTTCTCTGGCTTCTCACTGCTCCTAGAAGTCACACACTCCTTTCTGGGAATTTTCACTCTCCTGAGTCTCCTGACTGGCTCTTCTCCCAGATATCCAGTTGGCGCACTCTCCTTTCCCTCGTCACTGCCTCCTCTCTGGGGCCCTTCCTGCCCACTCTCGTGCATCAGTCTTCTCAGCCACCCTGCCAGGCAACCCCCAGCCCGCCCACCTCACTCAACAGTCTTTTTTCTGAAGCTCGCATCCTTTCTTTTTTTCTTTTTAATCAATTTATTGGGGCTCATACAATTCATCACAATACATAGATCAATTGTATAAAACACATCTATACATTTGTTGCCCTCATTATTCCCAAAATTCGCTTGCCTCTTGGGTTCCCGGAATCAGCTCATTTTCCTTTTTTTCCCCCTCCCCTTCCCTTCCTCCTCCCCTCTCCCCCATGCACTCATGCATCCTTTCTAATGCACTCTATTTTCCTAACATGCCTTAAACAACATGTATTATCACTAGGGTTGATTTTCTCCCTAGTTAGATTGTAAGCTATTTGGAGGATAGAGGGCTTTATTTTATTTACTGATGTATTCCAAGTACCCCAAACCATGTTTTCCATAAACTTCATTATATATGTATGCATATATGTGGGAGGAGAGATGACTGAACTTATATGTGTATATATATGCATGCATATGAATATAAGTATAATTATGGGAACAAATGAAGTGGCTCCAAGAGTTTGACTTTTTATTAAGATCATTATTATTTGGGGCTCTTACGGCTCTTATAACAATCCACACATCGATTATATCAAGCATATTTGTACATAGGTTGCCATCATTATTTTCTAAACATTAACGTGATCTTCTCCAAATCTCAACCCTGACCATACTCCAAGCACTGTCCCCAAGTCCCCAGGTCAGTTCTCATCCTCTGAAACCCCTGTGCTTGCCACTTACTGCTGGGCCCTCGGCGCTGTGCAGCCAGTGTGGGGGGAGTCTGTCTGCCCCCCCCCCACACACACACACAGAGTGGGCAGAGGTTCCAGGTGCCCCAGGCTGGAAGGCTGTTGGTGGAAATGGAGGCAGCTCTGAGCCAGCTGTGCTCACGGTGCTATAGATGTCCATCCTACGAGGAGAGAGGCTTTGCGCAGTCAGGATGGGAGAAAAAACCTCATCCTTTCCATGGACTTTTGGATGCAACCTTCCTGTGAGTTATCGGCTACAATGTTACAAACCTTAAGAGGAATGAGTCCTGGGCAAGACTGTGAGGAGTGGGGACTTCTGTCTCCAGTGCCCCTGGGCTGGTGCCACTTGTGTATGGATGGTCCCTTCCAAAGGTTCCTAGATGGGATATAGTGCTGTTAGCAGTATATTTGCAGGTGAGGATATTGAGGCTCAGAGAGGTGAAGCTGTTTGACCAGCTTGTACTTGAGGGAATCAGGATTTGAACTCAGGACTGCGTGACTGTGGAGCTCCTCCATCACCTAGTATATCCCAAACATTTTCTTAAGTACCACCCACCCATCCCCACACTCCCAGTCCCCACGTTCTGCTGACATTACCTCCCCAGTGCTTCTTGACTCCTGTCCCTCCCTTTCTTCCAGAACCTGGAAGTATATTTTGGTTAGCATTCAGGGCCTTCCTTGGCGCAGTTTCTTTTGAGCTGATATGTGTCTAATTTTAGGACCCTCATCTGTTCACCTCACTAGAGGGTCTCACTTATGGAGTCTGTATAAGTAGGATGGTAGGTTTAAGCTAAAGTCATGCATCTCTAATGGTGGGATTTGTGGGGATCTCCACCTGAAGTTAGGAAGGAAAGGTGGTGCATAGCCTGCCCTGGAGAAATGTCCACTCAGCAGCTGGGGAGGGTGACATGTCCCCTCATCCTTCTGCACTGCAGGCTGATGGCATTGTCCCCCGTCCCCGCCCCCCCCCCAACCCAGAGGCCTTCTTTCTGGCCTCTCTGACTCATTTCTGGTCCCAGTGCTTTCTGAGTCCACAGCTCCGACAGAGTCCGAGGAGAATCCTGGCCTTTTGCCCAGGTGTAGATCGTAAATCTTGTCAGGCGAATGCTCCTTTTCCAGGGGCAAGCTGCCCGTCTGCCTCATTTGCGCCTGTTGTCCGTTGCTTCCTGCAGGTGGTGTACTTCACGGCCACCTTCCCCTACGTCGTGCTCGTGATCCTGCTCATCCGCGGAGTCACGCTGCCTGGAGCCGGCGCTGGGATCTGGTACTTCATCACCCCCAAGTGGGAGAAGCTCACGGACGCCACGGTGCGTTTGCCATTGCATGCGTAGCCGCATTGGCCAGCCCCGGGCGCGGGTCAGGCTTCCTTCCAGAAGTGAGCTCTGGGGAGTAGACGGTGATTGGAACTCCTCAGACTACAGATATTTGACTTCTGGACAACTCTCTAGTCCTTTAATATTAGGTCCATTTGCCCTACTTTTACCATGGTAAAGCTAACCCCACCTGGAAACAGAATCTTCTTCACAATCACCTTCACTTGCTGCACGTGCAGATTTCAAATCATTGAAACGCCTTTGAGCCTTTTCCTGCCCTAAACCAAAATACTGAAACTCATTGCTTTGGAGTTGATTCTAACTCATAGTCACCCTAATGCGCAAAGTAGAACTGCCCTGGAGGGTTCCCCAGCCTGTGAAGTAGACTACTGCATCCGACTTCCATGGAGTTGCTGGTGGGTTCGAATGGCAGACCTTTGGCTTAGCAACTGAGCTCACCGGAGCTGTCTGATGAGGGCACTTATTGCACTAAAGCGAGGCTGAATAAGAACTGTAAGTACCTGTTCCAACTTACCGACAAATTCTACTCAAAGACACACTTGCAAACAGATCCCCTTCATCACCAGGGACTGTGCAACATATGAGAAGCTTAGTGAGCGGTGTCCTCAGGAACGCTTTAATGAGAAGTGGGGGCTGGGGCTGCTCAGGCGCCTAGAATAGTTGCCCTACATTTGAGGTTGCCCTAGAGGCAGACATGAACAATGAAATCCCCTTAATAGCTTTGGGCCACCTGACGCTGCTTACCTGTTACTTATTATAGAGAGCTGGACGTCAAGTTGCCCTGGCTGGAAAATAACAGCACTTAGGCCAACCACAAGCAATGCCATTTTAGGGGTTCACACCAGTTGAGTATTTCTGGCAGGTGACAAATGGCCAGCATACTCATGTACTTTCTCTTTGCACACCCTGTACTTGCATATCTCTTTCATAAAATGTCAAAACACACACACACACACACACACACACACTCAAAAAACCCCAAATGACCACAGACACACACACACAAGATGGTAAGGTAAGGTCAGAAGGTAATATATATGTATATATTGTGTGGTAAAATATTAAAATATGCTCACTGTTGTGATGGGCACATAAATAATTTGTATATTTGGGGATTTACTACTGTCTGTTTGAAATATTTTCCAATTTGATATCTTAGAATTATTTTTTAAAATAAATAAGTAAAAATTCTCAACATGCGAAGTGGAAGAAAACATCCACTAATAATTAGAGTGTGTGCATAGGAATGATGGCAAACTTCATTATCCAAGAAACTTTCAAGGTTTATCCTGAAATACAGTGCTGTCAAGGATAGGATGATATCTGTACACTTACAATGAAGACCAGTTAATACACCAATTATTCAAATTTACACAGTGACAAAGCCAATGACAAAAAAAATTGAAGAATTCTACAAACATCATTGGTCTGAAATTGATCAAACATGCATTCAAAATGCATTGATAATTATTGGTATTTGGAATGTGAAAATTAGAAACAGAGGGGAAAGATTAGTAGCTGAAAACTGAAGATAGAAATGAAACGAGAAATTGCATGATAGAGTTTTCAAGACCAGTGACGTCTTCATTGAAAATCTTTTTTTCAACAGCATAAATGTTGACTACATACATTGACTTCACCAGATAGGACACACAGGAATCAAGTCTATTACATCTGTGGAAAGAGAAGATGAAGAAGCTCAATATCATCAGCCAAAATAAGGACAAGGGTCAACTGTGGAACAGACCATCAATTGCTCATACACAGGTTCAGGTTGAAGGTGAAGAAAATTAAGACAACTCAACAAGGGCCAAAATACAACCTTGAGTACACTTTACCTAAATTTAGAGATCATCTCAACAACAAATTTGATTCCTTGAAAACTAATGACTGAAGACTTGACAAACTATGGGACAGTATCTTCATCATACATGAAGAAAGGAGAAGGCCATGAGAAAGATAGGAAAGAAAGACTAGATCAAAGTGGATGTCAGGAGAGTCTCTGAAGCTTGTTCTTGATCATAGGGTAGTTAAAGCACATGGAAGAAACAATGAAGTAAAAGAGCTGAACAGAAAGTTTCAAGGAGAATCTCAAGAAGACAAAGCATTGTAATGAAATATGCAAGGACCTGGAGTTCAAAAAACCAGAGGAAGAACGTGCTTAGCATCTATCAAGCTGGAAGAACTGGAGAAAGAATTCAAACCTCCAGTTGCACTATTGAAAGATTCTATAGGCTGGAACAGTGGGCTCAAGCAATTGTGACGATGGTGTATGACAGAACGGTCTTTAGTCTGTTGTACACATGGTTGCTATCAGTTGGAACCGATTCAATGGCACCTAACAACAACACAACGTGAGCAAAATTGTGAAAATGCAGAAAGCATCAAAGGAAAATGGAAAGACTGCAGACTCACTGTACCAAAAAGAACTGGTACACATTTAACCATTTCAAGAGGTATCATCATGTTATCAGGAACCTAAGGTGCTGAAGGAAGAAGGCCAAGCTTCATTGAAGGCATTAACTAAAAACAAGGCTCCAGGAATGGACAGAATACCAAGATAAAGATTTCAGCAAACTGATGAAGCACTGGAAGCACTCCCTGGTCTATGCCAAGACATTTGGAAGACAGCTCCCTGGCCCATGGACTGGGAGAGATTTAGAATGGCCCTTATTCCAAATAAAGGTGACCCAACAGAATGTGGAAATGATCAAACAATAGCACTAAAATTTTACATGTAAGTACAATTTTGCTGAAGATCACTCAGCAGCAGTTGCAGCAATACATCAACAAGGAGCTTCCAGAACTTTCAGCTGGATTAAGAAGGGATATTATTGCTGATATGTTTGCTTGTGTTCGGTTGACTATACCAAGGCATTCGACGGTGTGGAACATAACAAATGGATAACATTGAGAAAAATAGGAATTCCAGAATTCATTGTGCTCATGTAGAAGCTGTTCATGGATCAAGAAACATTGGTTGAATCGAACAAGAGAATGCTGCACGGCTTAAATTCAGGAAAGGGCCAGGATTATATCCTTTCACCATCCTTTATCCATTTGAATGCTGAACATGATCACAGAAGCTGGACTAGCTGAAGACAACTGTGGGCTCAGGATTGGAGGACAGTTTATTAACAGCCTGCGATATGCAGATAACACAACCTTGCTTGCTGAAAGTGAGGAAGACTTGAAGCATTTACTGATAGATTTAAAAAAAATTGCAGCCTCCAATGTGGTTTACAATTCAATGTAAAGAAAACCAAAATCCTTACAAACTGGACTAACAGATAACATCATGACAAATGGAGAAAAGATTAAAATTGTCAAGGATTTTATCTTGCTTGGATCCATAATCAATGCGCATGGAATTAGCAGTCATGAAGTCAACTGATGCGCTGCGTTGGGTACATCTGCTGTAAATATCTATGGAAGCAGATGGCCTTGTATTTCTCCTCATGATCGGCTGGTGGTTTGGAATTGCCAACCTTTTAGTGAGTAGCCCAATGCTTAATCATCCATAGCACCAGGGCTCTTTAGCAATCCAAAAGAATGTGAAAATTATCTAACAATATCACTAATATCACATGCAAGTAAAATTTTGCTGAAGATAGGTCAGAAACGGTTGCAGCCGCACATCAATAGGGAACTGCTAGAAATTCAAGCTAGATTCAGATGAGGGCACGGAATGATGGGTATCATTGCTAAGGCCAAGTTGGATCTTGTCTGAGAGAAGAAAATATCAGAAAGATATTATTTCGGTGTCTTTTTGATTCACTGTGTAATCATAGGCCCCCAATTTATTTGGCCTATCACCCCCCCTTTCAGAAAAAAATTATTCAATGTGTCCCTTGGCAATGAAAAAAAATTATACTATAGACCACAATCCAAGTTACAGTATAGGCATCTGCTATTTGTAGTTCTCCTGGATCACGCCGGTGCCTCTTGTGGCATAACGGAACCCACTTTGGGAAACACTGGTGTAGGCCATAACAATTTATGAACAGCTTTAGGAAGAATAGAATTTATACAAAGACCCAGAGACAGTAGTTGAACAAAACAAGGTGATAATATGTGGTTAAATCAGGAAAGTTGTGTGTCAGGGCTGTACAGTCTGTATGCTGAGCAAATCATCTGAGCAGCTGAGACATCTACAGAAGAATGCATCCACAGGGCCCGGGGAGAGAAGCTCATTTGCAACGTGCCACCTGCAGGTGACACAACCACGCTTTCTGAAAGTGAAGAAGACTTGAAGCATTTTGCTCTTGAAAATCAAAGTAGGCAGCCTTCAGTACAGATCACACCTCAACACAAGCAGATCCTTACTATAGGCTGATAAGCAACATCGTGATAGTTGTGGAAAAGCCCGAAGTTGTCAAGGGCTTCATTTTTCTTGGATTCACATGGAATGCACATGGAAGCAGGAGTCAAGAAATCAAACGAGGTATTTCATCGAGCAAATCTTGAGAAAAGACGCCACGTTGAGGACCGAGGTGCTAGTGATGGAAGCCACGGTCTTTTTCAGCGGCCTCATTCGCATGGGACAGTATGACTTTGAACGTGGAAGACTGGAGAAGGGCTGATGCCTCTGAATTTTGGTGTTGGCAAAGAACATTGACTCCACTCTGGGCTGCCAGAAAAATGAGAAAATCTGACTTGCAAGAAGCCCAGCCTAAATGTTCCTTTGAAATGAGGAGGGCAAAACTTCATCTCATGCACTTGGGACATGTTAGCAGGAGGCACATGTGTTTGGAGAAGGGCATCATGGTAGGAAAAGCGAAGGCCAGTGAAAAGAAGGAAGACCTTCAATGGGAGGATGGACATTGGCCATGACCGTGGGCCCAGACGAGGGAATGCTTGTGAGGCTGGCGCAGGACTAGATTGTGTTCCTGGTGTTACCGCGAGTCCGAACCAACCTATTGGCACCTATGACAACAACAGCAATAGAGTCATGTTTCTAAAAAAAATTAAATGTGAAAAAACACACCAAATAAAAAAATAATAAAAACTCTATGCGAGGAGGTGATGTTTAGATGAAAATAGTATTTCCTCATTTTAAGAAATATCTACCTGTATGGATGTTTCTAAGAACTCTAAGAGCCCCCAGTTTAAAACAAAACAAAGCAAAACAAATCAAGAAGGCTAAAGTATAAAAGAAATGCAAAAAAAATTATGTATATAGGCACGCATTTATTTTTGCAGTATGGTAATATAATTCATATTGCAAATAATGGTTATTAAAGAAATAGTTGACGATGCCCAAGTCCTTATGTGCCTGAAAACCATTTTAAAGGCATTTTTATGACATATTACAGCCATTTCTCCGATGTAGAATTAAAAAAGAATCAATTTCTATTTTAGGCTTATAAAAGAAATTGCTGTCTGAATATATCGTCAAATCAACGGTTTCCTAACTAACAGATTAGAGACTAGGTCCCAATGGAGATCCCGGTTAGACTGAAAGTGCAATCGAATTCAACATGGAATACAAGACTATAGTTAATGCTAAGATAAATGAGAATTCTTAAAACTAAGAGTTTGAGAAAAGCATGAGAAATTTTAGAGTTTTCTAGATATGTTCTTTGCAGGAATACATCAATATTTACTGAACCTCTCTTCCTCAGACATACTTTAAAAGTGTGTTCTGAAGTAAGCTGTTTACCTACATATTACAAGTTGGTTCTGGGAGAGAAAACTCACATCATCAATGCTCTCTAAGGAAAATGTTTTTAGAAATATCTATCTATATATACATACACAAACCCATAACTAGGGTGGCGTTTTTGCTGCATAGAACAGAAAACAGAACAAGATAACAGTTCATTTCATTGTCATGCATAAACATAGTATTATGCTAAATAGTTGAGGGCCTATTGAATGGCTTACTTGGCCTCTGACTACTGTCTTTCTGCCTCACTATTCTCAGTAAAGTAGCTCCTACACCGCTGCTAGGGCGCCAGCCATCATCTCAGCCTTCCAGGTAGCAGGCGAGTGGGAAGGATGGTTCAGAAAGGCATCCTCTGTCTCTGAGGCAGGAAACACCAGACGTCCCACATACCACGTGACGCCCTCAGCACTGGTAGAAACGAAGTTATATGATTACCCTCCCTTCCCAGAAACACGCCCCCCCCTCCATTCAACCACATAGCTGGATGTGTGGCTTCCCTGAGGGCATCTTGGGCACTGCAGGATGAGCATTGGGCTGCTCACCACCCAGTTGGCAGTTCAAACCCTGTCTCCTGGAGACAGTTGAGCCCGTCTGCTCCCGTAAAGATTTTCAGTCTCGGAAAGAAACTCGAGCCCCCTCCTCTGTCCTCCAGGGTGGTGTGGACGGGAATCGACTCGATGGCAATGAGTTTGGTTTGTAGGCTTGGTAGCGACCCTTCCAGAAAGCCACAGTTTTGCGCTTTCAGTTTGTTCATTTTAAGAACAGGAGTTACTGTTCTTATAAGCTTAACTCCAAAACTTGTGGACATTTATGAGGCAGTCAACAAGAGCCCTCTACCACAGAGAGAAAGATGTTGGCCGCTACGTTCGAGAAGGATGTGAATGTTGCCTGACTCACGTTGGGGACCATTAGTTGCAGATGTTCAATAGAAGTTTTGTGGTGGGGCTGGTGCCGGTGAAATACTCGCCATTTTGACCATATTTACATGCAATTTAGAGACTGATTTTGCTGACTAGGTTCCACAGCTATCACCGCGCTGTTTCCAGATGCTTTCAACGCCGTTAATAGAAACTCAGTCCCTCTTAAGTGACACTTCCCCATTCGCCCCTCGGTTCTACCCTTAGTCTGGAGCCCTGGTGGCTCTGTAGGTCAGGCTCTGGGCTGCTAACCAAGGGACTGGGGAGTCAACGCACCAGCCAATCCCCGGGGGAAAGATGAGACTCTCTGTACCATACAGAGTTCGTCTTAGAAACCCTCTAGGGCAGGGGTTCTCGACCCTTTCATACAGCTCCTCAGGTGGTGGTGACCCCCAACCATACAATTATCTTCAGGGCTACTTCATCACTGTCACTGTGCTACTGTTATGAATCGGGCGACCCCTGTGAAAGGGTCGTTGGACCCCCAGGTTGAGAACCGCTGCTCTGTAGGGAGGCCATGAGCTGGATTCACTCTGGCAATGGGTTCGTGGATGTGCGTGTGCGCGTGTGCACGCGCACGCGCACTGGTTTGCTTTTGCCCACCCGGAGTAGCCTTTGACAAACTTTGGATTCTATCAGTAGCAGTTCTTTAAACCTGTCGGACTTCCAATCCCGTGAGTTTTTGTTTTGTACTCATAAATATACATACTGTTGCAAACTGGTTCTGACAGACAACGGAGCTGTGATGATGGTGGTGGATTCCCAGGAATTGATTTCCCATCCCCAGGGGCCCCATGTGACAGCAGGGAATTCCCCAGAGGGTTGACCAGACTGTAATGCGGCACTGGGGCAGATCACCAGGTCTGTTCTCAGGAAAAGTCCTTTGTTATTAGCCGAGGGCTTACCTGTTGCATCACCAGGCCTTGCTCCTTCGGACTGGTTTCTCGGCAGGAAGTCAAACACAAGATGCGTGTGTAGTTTCGTGAGCTCCTCCCCTTTGATTGTAATGGAGTTTCCATCTCTGACTGCCTTTTTGGCTTCCAGTGCCACATGTGGGTTGGGGCCAGTCTTCTTCCCCCTCCCCGCCTTTGTTTTGGGGGCGGCCCCTGGGGTGTGAGAGCCCTCTCCCCCTGTTTCTCATCGACTGGGACCCTCTTCCCTTTGTGCTTCCAGGTGTGGAAAGATGCTGCCACCCAGATCTTCTTCTCTCTGTCTGCCGCCTGGGGAGGCCTGATCACGCTCTCATCTTACAACAAGTTCCACAACAACTGCTACAGGTATGTGGAGGTAGCTGGTGTATCAAACAGACCAGCTCTTTAATTCCAAGTCCGAGAAGTAGCGGATGGAGGAAATAGGATCTGGGGACACCACAGGGGCCCCGCATCCCCACACTGCCCCTGAGGGACAGCCAGAGATTGGCGTCTGGCCAAGGAGCAAGCACCTGCTAAGGGCTAGGTGCTGGCTCTGGGGGCCTGGACTCCGTTATACCCGGTGGGTGGTGAGGCATGGTAGGGGCTCAGTGATTGTTCCTCAACTGGAATTGAGTCTTGGGAGATCTTCCTGATGGCACTGTGTTTGTGAGCATCATTGGCAAGCTACCCAGCCCGGGGATTGTCAGATGATAGTCGCTTATGGGGTCCGGTCACTTGACAAAGGTGCATGGTGCATAGGAAAGAGCATGCTGGAGTCAGGCAGACACTGTGAAAATCTTTTCATTGGGAATTGCGTGAAGGTTTACAGAGCAGAGCACGAGTTTTACATCCACCCGTTCATGCACTGTGGACTTCATCTCAGCCATTGCAACTGCCTCCATGTGACACCACGGGCCCACTTCCTCTCTGCTTCCTTTCCCCATTGCTCCTCCTTTCCTAACCCTCTGAACATTGTTCTTGGGTAATGCTGCCTTTTTGATCTGAAAGGGTTGATTATACTAAGGTGTGCTTACCACGCTATTGTTATCATTCCCCCTTTTAGGTCTATTGTTTGACTTGAAAAATTGAGCCACAAGGCGGAGTTCATTTCCAGACCTGGCGAGTGTCTTAGGACCATAGTCTCTATTTGACCAGTATCCTGGTTTCTTTGATGATTTTACGTTTTCTTCCACATTTTTCTTCTACCTTGTCCCGGGCTGTCAAATGTACTTCTTTTCAGAATTAGTAGTGGTAGCCGGGCACCATCTAGTTCTTCTGGTCCCAGGATTGTGGAGACTGATGTTTACTTAGTCTATTAGTACACCGGACTGTTTGTTTTCCTGTAATCTTTTTAAAATCCTTTGTCTGAAGAGAAACCAAATAGTTCCCTAGTCACTAAAACTCTAAGACACTGGAGACTGGAGTGCATATTTCACTTTTCTGAATCTCCAGTTTATCCTCCATGAAATGAAAATGATGATGTTTTATTGAGGAGTAAGAGGATCGCTACAGAATTCTCAGTGTAATCCTTGGCACATAGTAGCTCCTATTGTCCATTTTTTAGGGCAGCTGTAGCCTATACATTAGTAGGTGCTCAATAGACAACAGCTATCATTGCTACTATTATTTTTATAATGGGTCAGATATTTTGTGAGCCAAAAGGATACAGAGAGATTCAAAGTGTAGCCCTTCATTCAATAACTTGAAATCTAGGCAAAGAGGTGCAAGTTTACTGGGTGGGTATCAGACTCAGATTGTCTTTCAACCTTGTAAGACACGGCAGGCCTACCGAACACTAACTTGCTTGATTTAAGAAAGGGTAAGTATGGAACAGGAGGGCAGCTGCATATACAGCAACAGCACTGTGGTGACCTCAAGTACCTAGACTTGGCTTTCAGTATTCCAAGGGCTTCACATGGACACTTTGGGAGCAATGGATGCTGAAGGAGCAGCTGTCACATCAGATTGGGTGCTGGTCACATCAGAACAGGGGCTGTCCCTCAACTTCAGGGCCTCCTTGATCACTTTGGGACCTCAAGGGTGCAGCCTATCTCTCTTTCTTTAGGGAGGCTGCAGCTGCAGCCCATACATGACAGGTTAGGCATTATGTGTCCTATGGCATGCTCAGGAACATGCTTGGATCTATAGTCAGAGAAGCCACCAGGGGACCCCAGTTTATCGCCTGTGAATATAGTCACTCATTGGTTTTGATGTTGAAGAATGTTGAGTAAGGATCAAACTTTTCTCCACCATCTCTGAAGTTAGAGGAAAAGATAGTAGTTAAGTTGTGGGCTGGGATGCTGCCAAGAACTCACAGCTTAACTGCCACCTTTTCTTCCCTGGAAGGTGAGTGAAACTGGGCCAAATGCCAGCAGGTGCCAAGGAGGAGGAAGTGTGCTGCACGTGGTGGAAAAAGCCGAGAGGAAGTGGTGTGATACAGGCATGTGTGGAGGGAGCAGGAAAATGGGACTGGAGTAGGAATGTGCTCTCAGGACTTGAAGGAAATGGGGACCCAGGGTTGCTTGTGACCGGATTGGCGAGAGCCTTGAGTGTCCCAGACTCACTCACTGATGACCAAGGATGAACCTGAACACCAGCAAGGAGTGTAACCTTGCTCTAGAGGAAAGGCAGTGTGGCATGGCGGAAAGAACTCAGGACTGAGAGGGAAGGAGCCTGTCTGATTGGAGTCTGCTGTGGTTACGTGTCATGGAGTTGATTCTGACTCTTAACACCCCTATGGGCAACAGAATGGAAGACTGTGCGGGTCTCCGCCAGACTCACAATTGGTCTTCTGCTGGAGCTCATTGTTGCAGCCACAGGGTCAATCCATCTTGTCCAGGGACTTCCTCTTTTTCGTCTCCCCTCTACTTGACTACACACGATGTCTTTTGCCAGGGACTGGTCTCGTTTGACGATATGTCCAAAGTACGTATGATGAAGTTTTGCCTTCCTCGCTCCTAAGGAGCATTCTGGCTGTACTTTTTCCAAGACAGATCTGTTTGCTCTTTTGACAGCCCGTGGTATTTTCAATATTCCTCACCAGTACCCCAGTTCAAATGCGTTGATTCTTCTTTGGTCTTCCTTATTCAGTATCCAACTTTCATATGCATATGAGGCAACTGAAAATACCCTGGCTTGTGTCAGGTGCTCTTAGTCCTCAAAGTAACAGCCTTCCTTTTCAACACTTTAATGAAGTTTCATACAGCAGATTTACCCAATGGGATGTGTCCTTTAATCTCTTGACTGCTGCTTCCATGAGCATCGATTTGTGGATCCAAGCAAGATGCAACCCTTGACAACTCCAACCCTCACTCCATTATCATGATGTCACCTGCTGGTCCAGTCGGGAGGATTGCCGTTTTCTTTCCATTGAGTTGTGATCCATCCTGAAGGTTGAAATCCTTGATCTTCATCAGCCAGGGTTTCGAGTCCTCCTCACTCCGAGCAAGCATGTTGTACTGTCTTCATATCACAGATCGTTTACAAACCTTCCTCCAATCCTGATGCTGCATATGTCTTCATGTAATCCAGCTAACTATTTGCTCAGGATTCAAATCCTGTTCTACCATTGATTAGATGATTGCCGTCGCCTTTCTGGGCCTCTGTCCTCAGTGGTCACCTAAGGGACCAGTAGATGGCTGACCGAGCACGTAGGTTGTGCCAGGCTATGTGCCACACTGGCACAGTTTCCTTCTGTTCTGACGACCAGCTGTGGAGGAGGGAGTTCATGGCTGCAATTTTACCTGAACTAGAAAAGGAAGCAGCTCGCTCAGTCTCACAGGCAGGAGAAAGGGGATTTGAATGTAGCCCGAGGCTCCACGTAGCTGTGCTCTTCCCTTGAGTTTGAGGGTGAGTACATCGCGCAGGCTGGGGAAAATGGGACTGTTTCACCAACAGAGGGCCCTCAGAAGACAGTGGTAACTTCTGTCTCCTCTCTCCTCCCTCTGCCCACTTGTCCTTCTCCATGTGCCCCGACCCCAACAGCCCTCCTGTGTTGGGGGCTTTTCTTGTCTTATCGCCTTTCCTTCCTTCACCCACAGTTCCTGTCCCAAGTGCTTTCTCCACCCAAGGCCATATCCCATCAGCCCCTGTTCTCCAGGGCAGGCGTTCCCCTGTCACTGAAATCAGGGGACTGGATTCTACACCTCACTGGGTCAGAGTGTTGACCAGAGGCCGTGGAACAGGGCAGCAAGACAGATCCTTTTCAGACTCTTCATGCGTCATAAATCATAAATCCCAGGGAGTCTGTGTTCAGGATCGGCTGTTCCTTTCCCGGTGAGTAAGGGAAAATGAAGCCCAACCCACAGTGGGTCCATGTGTTGACGCGACTCTGTCCACATCATCAGGGGCAGCCCACTCGCGGTGCAGCACCAGGCTTCCTTCTGTTGTGCATGGGGCTGCCGGGGGCTGGGCTGACTCCTCGATGGCACTTCACAACAACAACGACGACAACCACCGCACACGCATACACACAGACACCGGTCTGTGCGTCTCCATTCCTACTCTCACAGCAAACCTCATGGCAGGTTCTGACCCTCTCCCTTCAGGGACACCCTAATTGTAACCTGCACCAACAGTGCCACGAGCATCTTTGCTGGCTTCGTCATCTTCTCCGTTATCGGCTTCATGGCCAACGAACGCAAAGTCAACATTGAAAATGTGGCGGACCAAGGTATGTATGAGGACCAACCTGCTGCTGGAGGCCAAGCCCCAGGCTCACCTCCTGAGCACCAGACAGCTTGCTGCTGTCCTTCTGGGAGCATCAAGGAGAGTGGAGGAGCTCAGGGCCTCCTCCGTTTCAGAGGAACCAAGGCAGCTCCAGGGGGTGCTCCCTGCGAGGCCTGAGGGGGGCTGGTTCCTGGGATTGCTTTACAAGCCCCCTTTCCTGCTCCATTCCGTTCCTCATTCACTTCTCATTCTTATTCCAGCTCCCAAGCCATTGCCCCCAGCCAGTTCTGACTCACTGCACACCTGTAGCACAAAATAGAAAGGCTATAATCTTTTCAGAAGTAGATTACCCCATCTTTACCCACTGAGTGGCTGGCTGGTGGGTGTGAACCAAGAACCCCTCAGTTATCCGCCGAGTGCCCTGGTAGAGCCAGTAGGTTAAGTGTTGAACGATTTCCCACAAGGTCTGCAGTTCAAGCCCCCCCAGCCATTCTAAGGGAGAAGGATGAGGCTGGCAGCTCCCATAAAACGTTTACAGCCTGGGTAACCCTAGGAAGCAGCTTGACCCTGTCCTGTGACGTCTTTATGGGTCTGGATGCTCTCCATTGCAGTGGGCTTGGCTGTTGTTTTTAATCAGACACTTGTGGGATGCCTCCATGTATCTGGGCCAGGCCAGGCGCCATGGGGACACGGGTCATCCAGGCTCTGGAGTTATCATTCCAGGAGCTGCCTGCGTCTTCGGTTATGGCTCAGATCCCAGTGCCTAGAGAACTCAGCTCTAGGAGTGCCATCCCTTTGGGGGGCTGTCTGATCTTGCTGGCTCTCCAAGGATCATTAATTACTGCCTCAGGCACTGATAATCACCTAGGGCCCCCAAAAGGCAAAGAACCAGCTTGTTCCAGGGGTGTAATTATCCCTCCTTGGAGAGAATTTTAAACCCCCAGGGAGCTTGGTTCTGCAGCAGTGCGCTAAATTAGAGGGGCCACAGGGAGCTGGTGGGATGATCCCACCCCTGTGAGAATTCTCCAACTTCCTTGGGAGGGAAGGGGGAGAGGATGAGGGGTGAGGGGCTCTGGTCCCTGCTGTCTCTGACCTCATTTCCTCCCAGCAAGGTGGCTGGAGCAGGTAAGTTTTGCCCCACTTTCTAGCAGGTCTGAGGCAGTCTGCTATTTTTGTGACATTACTGGGCTCCTCGTGAACACTGGCTGAGCTGACACAGACATGGGGCCATCTGGGCTCCTTCCTGCCCCTTGAAGGGGCTGGGGGTGGGGTCCTGCCCCTGAAACTCAAATAGGATTCAAATAGGATTTCAAGTAGGGTTTTCTTGTTTGAAAAAAGCAGCCTGTGTTTTCCTCTCACTTCCCCTTCCCAGGTGCTTGTCACCTCTGATTTTCAGGAGGGGAAGGAGCTCTTGGAGGCTCTAACCGATGCGTCTGTAACACCTGGTCGTTTTTTAACTGCAGGGCCAGGACATTCAGCAGCACTCCCCACAGAAAATAACCCTTCCTCCCCGAAGTCTCTCACCATCTGAAGTGGGACATCCAGGCAGGCTTGTCTATCACAGAGGCACCGCTGAGAGCCCACCCTCTTCCTTGCCGGGCAGTGTGAGCGCACAGACCCCTCCGTTCCTCTGCTCTCCCATCAGAAATGAGAGCCCACCCTCTTCCTTGCCGGGCAGTGTGAGCGCACAGACCCCTCCGTTCCTCTGCTCTCCCATCAGAAAGAGCTTCAGTGACCAAATACCTACGGAGATGCTGTGTCAGTCCAGGACGACTAGATAAACACATTCATAGACACTCATTTGTGTATAAGAAAGAGCTTTATATAAAAGAGTAATTGTATATTAAGGAGATATCCCAGCCCAGTCTAGAGCAAGTGTTTGAGTCTGATATTAGCCCATATGTCAAAGACCAGTCTATATAAATTCCTATTCAGACTCACACAACACATGCAATGATGCCGAATGCAGGAAGATCACAGGCCAGTAGGTAGAAATTCTTGTGGAAGCATCTCAGCCCTGGCATGGGTCTCCATGTGGCTCTTCCAGCTCCAGGGCTCTGGCTCCTTCAGTGTAGCTCCATGTGGCTTGGTAACAGGAATGTTGCACAGGGAGAGAGTGTGTCCTGCCTCCAGGGAGGAAGACAGGAGTTCTCAGAATCCTCAGGAGAAGGCCATGCCCATACAGAGGCCTCATTGGCTGATTGACAGGCTAGACCCCACCCATTCACGCAAGTTGACAGGATATTATGTAACTGCCACAGATGCTCTGTAAAAGACGAGGTTGGGACCAGGGGAGATGGACATGTGTGGGGCATGTGCTGTCAGAGTCCCGGGTGGAGGTGACCCGGCCCTATATGGATTACTGCTGGTTCCCTTATCCAGGAGTCGGAGACCCTACCGATCCAAATGAACGCTCACAAACTCCCACTAACATCCACTCATTTGTCAGCCCCTGAGGTTCCCACTTCTCTGCTGGGAGGCACAGGCCTGCAGAAGCATGCGTTCTGAGAGTCCAGCATTTCCTTTGTGTTAGAGTAACCAGCCTCTAACAAGATTGGGGGTCCATAGGTGCAACTGTACAGCAATAATATATAAAGATGATAGTATAGTCATAGAGAATAGGAGCGATAGGAGAGAGGATAAAATAAAGGCGTCAGACACATTTTATGGTAGCATGCTCTCCTCCGGATGTCCATGATCTCAGCAGCCAAGTCTGTGCAGAGAGAGGGAGTCTTTACTGTCTTGGGACATTTATAGGCAGCCATAATACATGCATATTCAGTAGTTACATACCTCACAAGGTGGGTGGTAACCACAGTCAAGTCCCTGAGCTCACAGGTGAGGAAACCTAATACCTGCATTGGAGGAAGGCAAGGTGAGGGGGGAATGGGTGCCACTGCAGGAGGAGATAAAAAGAATGTTTGCTTCTACAGGGAGAGAGAATCACCCATGTGCTCACTTTAAGGCAGCATAGCTGTTAGGGGAGAATCTGTGGGAATGTATTTAAAGCAGGATAATGTACTTGGACTTTACCTCTAACATACCCAAAGTGGTGGCTTTCTACCGTGGAATACTAGCTTTCCAGATTCTCTCTGTTAAAAGTGAGGGAATATAATCCTCGTCATATTTCCCTCAGTGTCAGTTTCCCACACCTTTGTGACCAGCCTGCAGGCACTGCGGCTGCCCCGTGTGTGCCATGGGCGGGCCTCAGTGATTCCTTGTTGAGCTTTTGTGGCTCTCAGATACAAGAAAGGAACGCTCATGGGACAATGAAGGTTCAGCCCTTGGCTGCTAACTGAAAGGTGGTGGGTCTGAACCCACCAGCTGTTCCGGAGGACAAAGACCTGGTGATCCACTCCCAGAAACCCCCACAGGGCAGTTCCGACCTTTCATTTGACTGGTGTCCTCAAAGACAACAAGACATAGGAGGCTCCCACTGTCCAAGCTGCTGACATTACAGCCCGTTGGCTTCCTCTTATAGGAAGAATAATATGTTTATGTCCCTGTTCTCTGGCCACTACCCATCTGTCATCTTGCTGCACGATGGTGGCCTGCATGTTGTGACAATGCTGTAGGCTTTGCCACTCTATTTCAAATACCAGCAGGGTCATCTATGGTGGACAGGTGTTAGTGGAGCTTCCAGATTCAGACCGACCGAGGAAGAAAGGCCTGGTGATCTATTTCCTAAAAGCAGCTCGTGGAACCCAATGGATCCCAACAGGACACTGTCCCGCCTATTGCTGTAAGAGGAGCCCTCCAGGAAGAGGCTGGGGCAGCCAAAGCAATGTGCTGAAGCATCCTGACTGTCATGAGGGTGATGGGGGGCTGAGCAACACCGCCTTCTGCTGTGTCTGGAGCATCCATGAGCCACCCAGGGCCGCTAAGAACAGTGACATCTTACTGAGTTCTTACTGTGTCCAGCTTCTAAACCTTTTCCTATGTCAGTGAGCTTATTTTTCACAGCAACCCTACTATTATTGCCACAGAATGGGTAAGGATCAGAGGGCACAAGTGACTTGCCTGAGGTCCCGCGGCTAGTAGGCGTCAGAGTCCGTCTTCTTCTGAGCTGTGGTTTCCTAACCTGCACACCAACCATTAGGTGTACTGCCTCCTTGTGGGAGCGGATGGGTATACCACATGGACTTTGGCGTCCAGCCCAGCCCAGCGCTGCCTTCGGCAAGTCATCTTTGGAGAAAAGAAAACAGCAGCAGCAACAAAACCCGGAACTCTACAGAACCCCTACCGGTGTTTTCCAACCCCACAATATTGTCCACCAGACGAGCCTGCTCTGCAGCTGCCTTCGATAAGCGGGCTTGGCTGCAATGTAGCTGGGAAATCATGCCTTCCCCTGGGAACTTCATTGGAAGCAGCTGAAATGGAACCGGGCCTAATATTTCGAAATCACTTCCCCTCCTAAAAATGCAGCAAAGCCCAAAGGATAGGTGTCTATTAAAGTGAGCCGCAGAGGACCCCAACAGTGGCCTTTCTTGTCGACTTTATGGGCCAACTGTCATCAGAGCCTGGAAGCGGCTTCCTCGGTGACTGCCGCAGAGCCCTGCTTCGAGCTGTGGTTTAATACAGACTTTTCCTTTATGGTTCACACAGGAAAGCCTTCACTAAATGCAAAAAGCTCTGGGATCTTAGGCATGCCAGGCGTAATATTTTAAATACCCTGAGGCCCACGCCAATGTTAGGAACTCACAAATCGATAAACTCCAGTTTTGAAAAGCGTGGCTCTGTTTAAAGTGAGAAAGGACTTCCAGATGCCCTGATTGCTCCTTCCAGACCCACAGGCGTGGATTACTTCCGTGGCACCTGCACCTGTGTCTCCTTGCGTTAGACTTCCGAATCATTGCAATGACCGTCACTCAGCTGAGTCATGAGCTATACGGCTACAGCCAGCTTCCCAGCGAGGTCATGAAGCCAGTCAGAACCCCTGCCAGGGCTTTCGAGTAGCGGAAGAAACTGTCGGCCACCCACACCCCCCCGAAAAAGACAACATGTAGTATTTGTGGGAAAGCCTAATCCAGAACCTTGACTTCAGAGCTCCGTGCTCACTTGCGTTTATAGTCAGTATTTTGTGAGCACTCAGGATGTGTGAAGCACAGGACTCAGCGCTTCATTTGCTCCTCGTTACTGCTTTGAAGGGTGCTACCGACGTCCCCATTTGGTGTTGTTAGATGCTGTCCAGGGGGTTCGACCCATAGCGACTGCATGCACAACAGAAGGGAACACTACCCGGTCCTGCGCAGCCTCAGTTATTCCTGTGCCCGAGCCCGTTGCTGCCCATTGTCAGCTTTTCATGCGGTAGAGGCGTGTGTGTGGCTGGGATGCTGGGAGGGTCACCCAAAGCTTCCAGCTGCTGAAAACCTTACACAGAGCTTGGAAACATTGTCAGCTCCTGAAGGCCTAATGAAAGGAGGCAGGGCATTCTTGGAGGTAGTGCCAGAGGCTGCCCATTTTATAGATGGGCCAAATGGAGACGGACAGAAATGAAGTAAGTGGGCCATGATAGCGCAGTCACAGAGTCTGAGTGGGGATGCAGACCTGTCTGACCCTTACAACCCAAATTTTCTTGACCCCTTCACCATGCTTCACTGCCAAGCTGCGCAGATGAAGGACCTGTGGGCCAGTAGAGACTTATTTTCTCCCGGCCTGCAATTCAGGGACACTGAGTCTCTTTTTTTGGGTCAAGATCTTTAAAATGGTAGATAGGTTCCTGGATGATGTGAATGGTTGATGAACTTGGCTGCTGATTGAATGGTTAGAAGTTCAAGTCCATCCAGAACACTGACCACAACTCAGTTCTCCTCAGACCACACGGGTTGCCTTGAATTGGAGTCATGTTCACAGTGCTTGGTTTGGGTTTTAGGTTTAGGGTCACAAAACTCACTGCTGTCTAACTGATGCCAACTTAGAGCACGTCCCCATTGGGCAGGGTAGAACTGCTCCTGTGGGTTTCCAAACTATAACTCTTTACGGGAGGAAAAGGCTTTATCTGTCTTCTGAGGAGCGGCTGGTAGTTTTGAACTGCTAACCTTACAATTAGCCGGTCCATCCATAACCACGATGCCACCAGGGCTCCTTTTGGTTTACAGTAGCGGTGCTTTATGTGAATCGCTTCTCCCAGAAGAGTGAAGAGGCGGGAGGGGTGCTACGCGGATAAATAGAAATAATGGCACTATTAGCAAACTCAGCCAATCTTACAAAGAGAGCTATTCAGTGCCACCATTGATAGCAGGAAAAAACAACGAAGAAGAACGGGGTTTATACACCAACAGATAAGACTTTGATGACGACGAGGAGGCCAGGGACAGGGACAGGGAGAGGGGAGGCATGGGTTGTTGAGGGGGAGGGAGGAGATATGGGGGGGGAAGAAAAAGAATCACATATATGGGGGGGCTTGGTAGGATCTCTGAACTAATTTCTTGAGATGGGCTAAATATAGACAGTGTGTTTCTTTAAAAACAAAAAACAAAGCAAAACAAAAAATCGCGGCAGATTCCCTACCCCTCAACCGAAAGGGAGGGAAGGCAAACTAGAAATGGACTTGCAGTCTTCCTAACAAGTTCATCTCAAACAGACAAAGAAAGAGAATCATGCCATGCTGTGCCTGCTTTGTCTCGGTGCCTCTTTCGGCTTCATCTCTGAGAACACCCCCAGGACCCACCTGCGGCACCCTGCACAGTACGGCTTCTCACACTCAGTCCGATGGACACTGGTCGCAGATACTGTCCTGCACAGCTTGTGCAGGATGTGCCACCGCATCCCTGGCCTATGCCCACTAGATGTCAGTATCGACCTCACCCCGGTGTGAGAAGTACAAATGTCGCTGAACATTGCCCAGTGCCTCCAGAGGGCCACAGCCAGCTCCGGGTGACAGTCACTGCTTGGGATGGCATTTCTGTGTGCCCCTCCCCCCCCCAGCTCATCCAGGACAAAGATGGGGCTTCCCGTGCCGTTTGCAGGGGATACAGCCTACCGTTGAAGTCAGGTCCAATTGGTCCCGAGTGTCCGCCTGGGCAGTTTTCGAACCTCCCTCTGACTTGCCCTCGTTGGGAAACGGGCAGAGCTGAGTCAAAGGACAGCGAGCAGCGGGAGGCCGCATGTTGCAAGGGCTTCCCGGAAGAGGGGGCCTTGAGCTGGGCTGCCTGTCCTCACCTCTGTCTTGCTCCTCCCAGGGCCAGGCATTGCTTTTGTGGTTTATCCAGAAGCCCTAACCAGGCTGCCCCTCTCTCCCTTCTGGGCCATCATCTTCTTCCTGATGCTCCTCACTCTTGGACTGGACACCATGGTAAGCCCCCTCCTGGCTGTGCCCTGCCCCTGACTCCCACCGAGGGCCACCTCTTCCGGGCCCCGGCCCAGCCTGGGGCAGAGGGGTGGGGCTAGGTACCCTGACCCAGGGTCCAGGCTAGGGGGTGGCCAGAGTTCTCAAGTTTGAGGGTGACCCGGGTGACAGTGCCCAGGCGCCCCGCTCTCACCTGCTCTTTTCCTCCCTGCCCCGTTGTGGCTTGTGAACCGTTTCCTACCTTGGTGTCATTTTTGCCAGAGCAAAATTCTGTGGGGCAGAAGGGGGACTCCTGCGCAGTTGGTCTTAGGGAAACGGCTGGGGCCTGATCCGACTACAAATCAGGCTGACAAGCTCTCCGAGTTTAGCAGTTGGGTGCAAAGAGGGCTTTTTCCTCAAGTCGAAGATCAAATGAGAAGTGAGTGGCGGAGAGGAATGGGCAGCTCAGGAAAGCGGAGTGGAGCGTAGCGCGCCTGCGCGGTGAGTGTGCGTACTGGCTCGGGCGTGAGCAGCACAGGCTCTAGCACACGCGTCCGGCTGGTTCCCCTGGCACCCGCCTGAGACCATTTGGACCCATCAAGGGGATGGAGCCCTTCGCGAACCAAGCCTCATGCAAATACCATGGTCCCTGGAGGGGCGGGAGGGACGCGTCCAGGCCCAGAGCGCCCCTTCCTGCCCCGTTTCAGTTTGCTACCATCGAGACCATCGTGACGTCCATCTCGGACGAGTTCCCCAGGTACCTGCGCACCCACAAGCCGGTCTTCACGCTGGGCTGCTGCGTTTGCTTCTTCATCATGGGCTTCCCAATGATCACTCAGGTGAGCGGCCTGCTGCCCACGGGATGCTGGGAAGGAGAGTGGGTGGCTGATGTCCAAAGAGCCAATAGCCAAATGGATGTCATTTTCCTGTAGAAAACACAGGGTCAGTAGGGATGCTGACAGCAGAGGGCAATGTGGCCACTGCCCTCTTGGCTATGGGTGGTGTTTCTAGTACCTTTCTAATTGAGCTGTGGTCTTCGTGCACCAAGGAGGCAGGTGCGCCCTGCTTCCTGAAGATGCAGTGCTGGAAATCCACATGTACCCGCAGACAAATTCCCAGGTGATTCCTTATCACATACCACGGTCTACTGCCAACCTGATTTCCTTACAGTCCTGAGCATCTTGTACAAATGTCTGTGTGTGTGCATGTGGGCACATACACACCTGTGAGTATGTGGGTCGAGGGGGGAGGATAGTCCAGAGACCAGCGAAGGGCATATGCAGGTCCACCATGTGCAGACATAAGGATAGAAGCGATCGTCTGTCCGATGCTGAAAGCACACGAGGAAGCCGGCTCGCCGTCTGCTCCCACGCACGCATCTCCAGGCACTGATCCTTGCCCCTTTGCCCTGAGTCTTTCCGGGAAACTGCTTTGCTCACATGCCAAGACCCCCTTCCTGGGAGCAGGCTGCACCTGAGGGAGGTTACTTCTGTGAGGACTTGGGTGGGGAGCTGCTTGTCCCCAAGTGCCCTCAGGGAGGGAAGGACTGGCCGCCAGCACTGGGAGAGAGAGCCCACTTCCTGCCCATTAGAGTCTTGTTTCTCTTCCCCTCAGGGTGGAATCTACATGTTTCAGCTCGTGGACACCTACGCTGCCTCCTACGCCCTCGTTATCATCGCCATTTTTGAGCTTGTGGGAATCTCCTATGTGTACGGTAAGGGGCAGGGCATGGACTTAGGCGCAGCCAGTCTGGAAGCACAAAGCTTTACATCCAAGCTTGCCTGGACACCTGCCATCCTGATGGGAGACATGGAAGGTGGCTGATGATGGAACTGGGACGCTTTTGCATTCCAGGGCAGTTAACGCTCTGTGTGTGTGTGTGTGTGTGTGTGTGTGTGTGTGTGTGTGTGTTTTGGGGGAAGGGGGGCAGGCAAAGGGAGGACTGCCTTGTGCCTTGATGTCTGCAGTCCCCTTGTAGCTGGAGAGGAGCCGGGGTGGGGGTGGGGGTCTTCATGGATAGTTGGGGTGACTGTCATAGCAATGGAGAGCACCTGGCTCACAGATGCTCAGAAACCTCTATCAGCATCACGAGGGCCTGGGGCCAATATTTCAGTCCCAGCTTTTCTCAGGAATAAACTTCCGGCTCCCTAATAGTTTAGCCATCCTCTAATCACCATAGCAACCTGCGCTCCACAATCAGAGGGACCCTCGTCAGAACAGCAGGAATGAGGAGCTTGCAGATGCCCTCCTGGCCCCTCCCTGGAAGGTGTCTGTGCTTGGAGATGTCTCCAGTGATCGTCTGGGCCTCTGGCATGTACTGGTCAGTCAGCCCCTGGGTGCCTAACTGGAGTGAAGCCCCTCCCATCTTCTCTGTGCATTGTGGGTTTGCTCAGAGTTTGTCCCCTCCCTGGATGGTGCAAATGGTTAATGCATGTGGCTGCTAAGGAAAGGTTGGAGGTTCAATTCATCTAGAGGTGCCTCAGAAGAAAGGCCTGATGACTTGGAACCCAGTTTTACTTTCACACACATGAGGTCACCATGAACAGGCTGATTCAATGGCCATTGCCTTTAAAATTTATAAGTCTTCTATAACAAATATGAAAAAGGTGAAAAACATCACTTCAGACTAACTGTATTTCAACCCCCGAAGAGATGGCGACATGCCGCCAGTTCAAGGTAAATACAGAGGGATGCAGGATCTGAGTGAGGGACAGACACACTCTCTGGAGCCTGAAGAAGAGGGGTCTGGGGCCCCACGGTCTGCAGAGCTCTGCCCTTCAAGCTGGGGGCCCAGCAAAGCTCATCCTAACTCCGGGTAGCTTTGATATGAGCATCTTGCTTTTAATGTAATCGTTAGCACCACACCTAATAGTTGCTCAGCAACACTGGAGACTGGAGGGGCTTAGTGGCAGGGGTGAGGAACCCTGGTGGTGTAGTGGTTACATTTTGGGCTGCTAACTGCAAGGTCAGCAGTTTGAAACCACCAGGTGCTCTGTGGAAGAAAGATGGGACTTTTCAACTCTGGTAAAGAGTTACAGTCTCAGAAACTTACAGGGTCAGTTCTACCCTGTCCTATCGGTCGCTATGAGTCAGCACCTATTTGACTGATGGCAGTGAGGTTTTTTTTTTGAGGGGTGGAGTCAAGATGTGAAAAAGAAGCCTCCCATGTAAATAAAGCTTGGATATTCAGAAACAGGAAGATGCGGCTGTCTTTTCTGGGTCTGGTGGAAGGGGAATTTGTCGTGGCCCGTGGTAACATTTGCACTGCAGGGAGAACTGTGTTTTAGGCAAGAGGAGCCAGGCATGCCAGCTGTCCTGATGGGATCAGAGCCAGCACTTTTGGCCGTTAAGACAGCCAGGTCCCTGCAGTGAGGCTCTGTTGGAAGACCTGCTGTCAGCGTTAGGATAAAGCTTCCAAGTGACATACATCTACCTGAGCAGAGAGTGGTGGAAACCTTTTGCCCAGATGCCAATGTACTGGCCATGGAGAGGCGAGGAGAAGCCTCACTGGCCCTACCAGCCCTATTTACCTCTCATGGGCCCAGATGCCACTGCGGTCACCAGCTGGTCTGTTGGCAAAGTCAGGAAAGACCTTCCTCTGCAGCACTGGTCCAAGTGCAGACAGCGATCTCATGGCCGCCCTGGTACCAGTGTCTGCACTGAGAACTGCACAGAAGACCTATTAGCAGAGCCGCTCCTGTGGTTCAAGAGCAGCACAGTAGTAGGAAGCTGCTGCTGTGGGTTGTGAGAAAGAACCTCGTGGCTCCCTGCCCTGAATAAAGCAGCTAGCACACCTCTGGTTTCCGAAGACAAGCTCAAACCCACGTGCTTCAGTCCTTGGGCTCTGCTAACTTCCTTGGGCTCGCTCAGGAAAGCCCACAGTGTGCAAAGGTGCTGGGACTTGGCCAGCCTCCAGAATCAGATTGAATTTAACTTCTGCAATTTCAGGTGGGGTGTGAACTAATAGTTTGTTTCTAGATCAGCAGTTCTCAACCTGTGGGTCGTGACCCCTTTTGGGGGGGTGTCAAACGACCCTTTCACAGGAGTGGCCTGATTCATAACAGTAGCAAAATTACAGTTATGAAGTAGCAACGAAAATAATTTTATGGTTGGGGGGGTGGTCACCACACATGCGGAACTGTATGAAAGGGTCGCGGCATTAGGAAGGTTGAGAACCACTGTTCTAGATGAAGGGATTTTTCAGATGCGAATCTCAGGCACGAATTGTTGGAAAGCAGCGAACCGAATTGTCCGAGCTGAACAGACCAGCCTGCACCTGTGTGCGTTCCACCTTTATTGAGGTGACGAGCCTCACACCGGTGCAGGATGAGCTGATGGCAGCTGGATGCAAACCTGTGAGGAACGGCAGGGAACCTGATTGAGGTGGTACCTTCTTTCTCTTTCTGGCCGTGGGATTTTTAATACGATCAAGCCGAGAGTGATCCTTCCTTCTCGCTTTCAATAACGTCTAGACTCGGGATTCTACCACTCCGTCGGTTGAAATAGGATGAGTCTAATTCTCAAGGTTTATCATTAGATGGGAACACCGTATGTATGTTATGCAAACAATGCGCATGTGATACGTTTTTGCATAATGAGCGCCTCCCCCTCCCCTCACTTTCTTTTCATGAGCATATTGTTTATCTGTTGCTGATTGCTGTTGATTGCAATAACCATTGGAATCCAATGGAGTTCATGTCGAGGCTGGGTGCCTGTTGACGTGACAGCCTGCAGCCCCTCACCAGCCTGCCCCGGAGTACCGGAAGCAGCCCCTTCCCAGCTCCGCCCACGGCCTTCTCCTGCCGCAGAGACAGCCTTCACCAGGGAGTTCGGTCCCAGCCCAGGAGGTGCGGAGTCTGCGCACTTGAGCCAGCGAAGCTGCTGGGATGGGCAAGGGCAGCGCGTGCAGCTGCGTGCTATCAGGCACAGGCGTCGGGGGTGGGGAGGGGGACTGGCGTTCAAGTCCGTGTCTCCTGCCAGAACAGATGCCCCAAGCTAGTGGTGAGGGCCGCCGGCTCTGAGAGGTTGTAAATCCCTCGCTTGGACAATGTGGGTCCAACTGGCCACTTGGTGGGTCCACAGCAGGCAGTGTGTGACCATACCCTCTCCCTTGTTGTCCTTCCGCCCGGCTTCACGTCAGAGGACCCAGGCTGTGGCCGCCCCACGGTAGCCGTCTCCGGAGGGCTACCTGGACACGGACATGGTGAGGAGCCAGGCGGCTCACAGGCTTGTCTGTGGACTGTCCTAGAGCCAACGCTGTTTCCCTTGTTTATTTTCCATATGGGGGTGGGGTGGTGGTGGTGGTGGTGGTGGTAGTGCTGTGTGTATGTGTGTGTAAGTGTGTGTGTGTAAGCGTGTGTAATGCCAAGGAGCCCTGGTGCTGTCATGGCCACGCATTGGGCTGCTAACAAGGGCAGCAGTTCCGAACCACCGGCCTGTCTGAGGGAGAAAGACAGGCTCTCTATTCCTGTGAGGAATGACGGTCTCAGGAACTCGCAGGGACAGTTCTACTCTGGCCTGCCCTCTAGGGTCGCTGTGAGTCAGCATCGACTCGGTGGTAGGGCGTTTGATTTGGTTTGGGGGTAATACCAAACTCGACCCATGACTTCCTGACCATGGCTCAGGTCACTGTGGCCAGCTGGGCCCCGCATTGTCTAAGTGAGGCCGTGTGACCTCTCTGTGCCGGGGTGTGTGTGCGGCCAGGAGAATTAAGGACCCGAGCACCAGCCCGAGGGGCCAGCCCCATCCGCCTGGTCATCGGAAAATGTCACTTTAGATCCTATTTGTATAATGAAGGTATTCATGGAAGGGGGGCTAAAGGACCAAATAAGGTTGCCATTCGCTTCCAGAAATGTCTAAAGACGTGTGGTGTATGCATAGGCATGCTATGCCAGAACTTTTAGAAACCATAACCCCCTCTCTTATGTGCATGCACGTGCGTGTGTGTGGTTTACATGCGTGTGCTATTTGTGGAAGAAGATGGTAGTTGATTGGGCCAGTATTCCTCAGAGGTGTGGAAGTGGGGTTGAGGCAGCCAGGTTTAAAAACGGACTACCCTGAGTTTGGGCAGGATCTCTCTCTCTCTCTCTCTCTCTCTCTCTCTCTCTCTCTCTCTCTCTCTGGTATAAAGAGAGGACACCACACTGGCCAATTCGGCCTCCTCCAGGGGGACGATAGTGGCCTCCATGGTGATGGCTTAGTCACGGCGTCCCACCACCACCCCTCTTCGTTGTCGGATTTCCCAGCCCATCAACCTTCCCTGCTTCCCAAACACGCCCTTCCCACCCGCCCTTCCCAGGTGACCACTTTGGCGGCTATCCACTAGCCTTCTCTTGTCCGGAGCTTCCTCTGTAACAGATGGTTCCCTCGGCAGAGTCGCTGTGGAAAAGAGGCTTGTGTTTCCCTGGGAGCCTGGGCTGGGCCTCTGGCTGGTGGACACCAGGCAGGAGAACGGTTCACTGGCAGACTCTACCTTACGTCCCACTCAAACTGCAGTGTCGAAAGTCACCAAGCTCCTGGGTCATACCTCTGTTCAGAGCACCTCTGCCCTGTCCTTATGAGGGGGTTGTGAGAGTCATCCTGGGTGGGTTACATCTGCTTTCAGTTCTTGTTACCCACCTGCAGGAGGCACCCATCCAGGTTTTTAAGAATGAAAGAAACCAAGCGATAGAAAGAAAATCACCTCCCCTTGAAGCTGCAAACTCAAGTGTGCATTTCCCCCAAACGACACCCCCCCCCGCCTCCCCCCGCCTTTCCTCTTGGCTGGGATCGCTGCACATCTTTTTAGGGCATGGCATCTGTAAACTGTTGGAATAGATGCTAGTTCATTGGTAACTGGCACCATGGACCAGTGGTCATTACCTGCTCACTGCGCGCCCCAATGCCCCGAGGCCGGGGGATGGGGGGGTGGGTTCTTTCTACACTTGGGACCAGCCAGCAAATCATCACCTTGCCCACCCGCTGCTGCGGGAGAGCAGACACACTTCCAACACTGCGAAGAAGGTCCGTGCTAAGCCCGGCAGCTCTGCCCTCGATGAGTACTTGCGCTTCTCAGAGAGGAAAGGAGGACCAGAAGAGTCGGGGACACCTGGAGGGGTGGCTTGTGAGAGAGAAAGACTGAGGCTCAGGGCGTGTTAGCTGAGCTCGTTGCCACCAAAGGCAGGGAACCCAGAGCCAGCCTGCAGGGGTTACCTCTGCGCTGGGCAGGGGAGGCTTTGGATGGAGGATGGGAGGATCATGTCGAAATCCTGTGTGAAGAGCCCACTCCCACCTAAACTGTCTTGCTGCGGTCGCTCTCGTGTGCCGTGAGGATGGAAGCTGGGTGCCCCACGACGGACAGGTTTCAGCCGAGTATCCAGGCGAAGCAGACCGATGAGGAGGAAAGACGTGGTGACCCGCTCCTGAAAATCAGCCCCAGGAAAACGCTCGGGATCACAGCAGTATAGTGCCGCGCAGAGAGAGCTGGAAGAGGAGCCGCTGGGTCAGACGGCACTGGAAGTACACAGCATTGGCCACAGGATGGGGCTCAAGCAGACCGCGACGCAGCGCAGGGCTGGGCACGTGCTGCTGCTGGTGGAGCCAGCAGGAGTCATGTGACGAGATGGCAACTCACAGCACCTGCATGTGTGAAGCAGCGAGGGGTCTGGTATCTCCTGGGGACCACCTACCTCTTGGCGGGACTCGGTGGAAAAGGAAAATGTGGGGTGCCTTATTAAAAGACGATGAAGACTTCATAGAGCATTAAGGCAAGGGTGTTGCCCTTCTTGGAACGTGAGGCCCAGGCTACTTCCTGCACGGCTTGTCCGCCCAGGAAGGCTGTGTTGGCTGCACGGCAGGGAGATGAGCGCTGATGATGATGCCATTCACACCAAGGCCAAGGGGAGGCTTATCAAGACAGAAGCTACAAAGCTGCACAGGCTGAAAGCGAGTCATTGTTCGGTTGAAGTCAATTTCAGATGGTTTGGTTGCATGGAGTTCATTGGCGAGGTGGGGGGTGGGAGTCTGAGCCCTCAAGTCTTTTGTGGAGTCTAATCTCATAGCTTCCAGTAGCCACAGGCGGCTTTCCTGCCAATTCCAATTTGGGTTTGATTCATTCTGATCCCTTCTGGGGTCTGACTACTTTGTTAGCCAATCAGCTCTGCCAGGCTCAAACTCGTGCACACGCGCCAGGCTCCAGACAGTTCCTTTCTCACGAGAGAGGTCTTGGAGGCCACAGGGCTTCGGGTGGGTGGGAAGGACAGAGCAGGCAGGGAAAGTCATGCAATCAAAGGCCTCGAGTGTAACGCGCCCTTGACCTGCTGAGGAACTCCTGGAGGGATTCTGAGCGTGAGCCGGGGCCCAGCGAGGGCTGGGGCTGGGCGGGGGCGGATGACTGGCTGGAAAGCCTTGCTCAGAAATGAGCCAGACTCAGGGAGGAGCTGGCTGCTTGGCAACTCCCAGCCGGTGCCCTGGCTGTGTCCGTCAGCCTAGCTACATGTTGGCAAAGCAATCAGAACTGTCATAGAGCCCAGAGGCAGTCTGAGCCAGAGGCCAGCCTGTCCATGGCCCTCAGGCTGGGATTCCCTGGGAAAAAGAGGGCTTGCCCAGGACAGAGTTGACCCTGAAGCCCCAGCCTTCTTCTCAGCTCCAGGGCCACTCCGCTCCTGTGCCAAGCTGTCTCTGCTGGACACTGGGCATACATCATCTGCGCATCTGAAAGCTCTGGGTCCAGCTCTCTGCAACCCCTCCTCTCCGTAGGAGGTGGTCCTCCAGTCTCCTCTGAAGACTAGTTTCCCGAGTCAAGCCACTGGAGACACTATCCCTTGGGAATGGTTTGGGAGAGAAGAGCACCTGGGCAAGGGATTTCTCCTGAGACTTGAGGCCTGTGTGTGGGGTGTGCTTCGAAGGCCTCGGCTCTGTCTTCTGTTTCTTCGGTTCTCTCCCCTCGTGTGTGTCCAGAGGGCTCAGGATCTCAGGGCTATCATTTGAAGACCTCATTCAGCCACATGAAAGGACATGGAAACGTCCAGAGATGGCTGGGTCACCACCTCAAAATACACAGCTCTTGCTGGTGAAGACCAGGAAGAGACTTGTAGCCCCTGGCGGTCTTGAACTGATCTCTCCAGGAGGGTCCTAAGAAGGCATGTGGCCGAGTCCCCACTGAGAGCCAAGAAAAGGCTGCAAGGCAGGAATGTCTCCATTGAGGCCACACTCCAGCTAGAGGGAGAGCCGGGTCGTGTTCTTCACACTTGCCGACTGCCAGAAGCAACCAGTCATAGACGTACAAGCCAGAAGGCTCCTGAGAAGCGGGCACCACGAGACTTTGCTTCATGCGTTGGAGATGGTATGGGGGGTGGGGGGGACCTGTCCCCAGCAAATTGCATCGAGCTTGGTGAAGCTGAGGGGCAGTGAAAAAGAGGAAGGCCTTCAGTGAGATGTGTTGACAGGGGCTGCAGCACTGGGCTCCGATTGAACAACCATGGTGAGGATGGGGCCGGGCCGGGCTGGCCAGGGGTTGGTTCTGCTGTCCACATGGCACCTCCCAACAGTCACTGCAGCCGCAGCAGCAACATTGTGGTTGGCCACAAGCAGATTCGTCTTAAAGCAGAGTAGGAAGCTCAGGTGCACCCTGAGAAGTTTTAGGATGAATCAGGAAAATTTGCCTTTGGTGACTACTTCGTGACACGGTCGTCGTTCCCCCCCCCCCCCCCCCCCCCCTAGGCATCCCCTGTGGTGGCTGGAGGTTTGTGGTCACGCAGGCTGGCTGCCCTGGGTCTGCATTGTGCACGGCGCTGAGACCACAGAAAGGTTCCAGGACTCGTTGGCTTAGAAGTGGTTATTCGAGTGGTGGTTTTTTTTTTTTTTTGAGCGGATACCCAACTTTAAAAAGGAGAATCCTTTACTTAGGAGAACAAGCACCTAGCTTAAGAGTGCTGCTCAATGCCTCTCTGTTCCCATGTAGCCCACACTCAGATCAAGATGTGGGACATCCCCGGGAGCATGGCTTCACAGAGCGGACATGAGCTTTCTGCCTCAGAGGTGGTGGTCAATGCTGGTCACATCTGACTTTTCCCCAGGCAGCAGGGAGCAGGCCCCTGAGCAGGTAGGGAGGTGTCCAGGAAGGAGATGGAGGAAGGGAACCACATGGCAAGGGGAAGCCTGGAAGAGGAGCATCCCAAGACGACTCACTTGCCCCCCAGGGGCTACGGGGAGAGGCCGCAGAGAGCCGGAGCCCAGGAGGAGCCTGTGGCCACGGTCCAGAAGGCCGGAGGCTGCTTAGGGAATCATTCTCCTTGGGCAGGACAAAAACCTCAGCTCCCATGACCTGCAGGGTGCCCACTTCTCAGCGAATGACCCAGAGGACGAAGGAATGCTGAGTGTTCTAGCCAAGAACACCGCGCCACACATCGGAACTGATGAGCTCCGCGACCTTCCGGGCTCCAGGGCCCCACGGTTCTGAGACAGCCACGTGGCGGCAAGCCCAGGGAGGATGCAAGAAGCCCCTTGACTCCAAGCACTCCTCCGTGGGCAGCTCCCCACGGGGTGGCTTCAAAGCTCCCTTCCTAAGGGCCCACGGGGCGTTGACTCGGTGGGGTCCTTAGATGAAGCTTCTTGTCTGCATTTTATTTTACTTAAGTTGATTGGGGAGAAGGGAGGGGGCAGTACGTCAAGTTTCAACCAAGAAGGTGTGGGCCCATGGGATGATGCTGGTTTTGCCTGCCGTTCCCATCCTGCAAAGGGCAGGGGTAGCCTGACGTGCTCCAAGAGGGTCTTTGGGAGGGTGGAGCACACAAACCAATGTGCAGGGACTTTTCCTCTAAATCCCAACCAGGATGTCCGAAGGCACTCTGCTTAGTGACCACAGTCTGCTGAATTGGGTTTGCCAGTGCCACCCGCGTGAACATGGCAGGCCTTGGCGGTGCGGAGGAATCCGGGCCTGACTGAAACTTGTGCTCTTGTGAGGTCGCCATGCGATGACAATTTTGAGTCTCACGGCAGAGAGCAGTTCATGTCTCTTTGTAAATGTTCAATATGTCAGTTCTCTGATGGTTCCCAACACACCAGGCTGGGATCGTCTCCAGCCGGTGGGGTTTGTGGGAGACACCCTAGCCCCAGCCCCACCTCACCCCGACCATCGCTCCTCACTCGTGGCTTCTGCTGGTCTGTCTGCAGGCTTGCAACGATTCTGTGAAGATATAGAGATGATGATCGGATTCCAGCCCAACGTCTTCTGGAAAGTCTGCTGGGCGTTTGTCACCCCAACCATCTTAACCGTAAGGACTGCACGCTGCGGGGTGCACTGGGAGCTTTGTACGTGCGGGGGCACGCGATCGATCGAGGTGTGGGCCTGTGTGTGAGCCCCGGGAGTTGACTAGGTGGGCGTTCCTTTTGTCTTTCACAGGCAGACAAAGATGGGGCGGAGGGGGGTGGCTCCCCAAGGTGAAGTGCCTCATCTCAGGGTCATAGCAGGTCCAGGACAGACTGACACCCGGGAGCAGGTCTTTGGGGCAGGCCTGTGGAACGCTTCCCAACACATTGGGCTGCTTCCTCTCCTGGGACAGAGACAATGACAGCCACCATTGACCAAGGGTCAGCCTGTTCCAGATGCTGTGTAAAAGGGCAGGTGTTGTTTGGGGACCTCAGTTCTGGGGACAGCAGCTCTGGGAGGCGGCCCTGGAATGATGCCTGGTCTACCGATGAGGCCACTGAAGCCCAGCCACGCAGCGCGCCCGCCTTCATACCTCCAGGAACCAGCACAGTGTGCATTGTGTCCCAACAGCCGGGCTCCAGACCCCAGGCTCATACTACTGCCAGGACTACTAAATGTCTCCACTCTTCAGCAACCAATGAACCAGTTAGACCTCTCCTGCTCATTTCCATAGCGTTTGAGGTTTAGCTTCTCAGCCTCAAATGTGATGGGAATATTTGAGATCCTATGATATTCATCTTGAAGATCAGAGCCCTTCACGTGCTAGTAAATCAGCACAGGAACTTCCACTCATGTCTTGTCACCTCTCTTAACATGCCCTGGACAGGCTGCTTGGTCCCACTTGGCACCCCAACCACAGTAATTGACAGAAGTCTTGTTTTTATTCCACCCCCCTGCCCCTGCCATATCTGTAATCGCAGAAGGAAGCAGACTGTACTACTGCCTATAGCCAGTAGGTGGCACTAGAACACAGAGGAAGGCCCTTGCTTTATTATAAAGGCAAGGGCCAACATCTTTAAAGAAAAAGGGAAAAAAAATGGCACAGTATAGAGTAAAATTATAAAGGAAAAAAATGTATTTTCTTTTGTTTTACTGTCACAGTGATTTTCAAAGCACCCAAATTTCCTTCTGAAAAGCTAGGAGCTTAGACAAAAAAGAAACAAATGACCCCTCCCCCCCAAACCATAAAAACCATTCAGCATTTATCTGTCAGTCCCGATGCCCACAGCTGTACCCCATTTTAAAGACTGACATTGATTTGAAGTATCCCACTAATTTTGGTGCATGAGATTTGAAAGCCTTGATATAGGTTTCCAGTCTCCTGAATTCAGGACCGAATGTGTGTGGGCACTGGGATTTACTTCGCTGGCTGCGGGAGAGAAACATTTGTGAGCTCCCTCAGTGGGTGGAGAATTTCCCATCCCCAGTTTCCCAAGGAGCCCTGGTGACATAGTGGTTACAAGCTGGGCTGCTGACCTCAAGGATGGCAGTTCGAAACCACCAGTCGCTCAGAAAGACAAGGCTTTCTACTCCCACACACAATTACTGTCTCCGAAACCCACAGGGAGAGTTCTAGCCTGCCCTTCCGGATCACGATGAGTCAATTCACTGGGTGGCCATGTTTGGTGGATCCAATCTCAGCTGAGCCCCCCCATTTTTCCCGAGCTACTGCCAGGAAAGACAGCTCCACCACCGCCAAACACAGCCTCATCCTCGAGCGAACTCCGGGTAGCACGAGTCTCCCCGGGCTCTCAATGGCTGGCTTTTTAGAGATACACCACCAGGCCTTTCTTCTGAGGCACGTTCAGGTGGACTTGGACTTCCAGCCTCTTGGTTAGCATTTGAGCATGTGAACTGTTTGCATAGGACCCAGGGGCCATGTCGAGTGAGTGAGGCTTGGTGGGCCTCGAAACTAGCATCTGTTTTAGATCCCCTTGCCCCCAACCTAGCAGCCATTAAGCTTCAGACAGTCTGACGACGTTCTGCAGAAAGACAGCACACATAGTAATTAGCACTGCTGTCCGTTGAAGCCTCCCAGGAGCCGGTCTTCTACCACCATGGTCTTTGAAACTGCAGCCACCCAGCCTGGAAGACGGTTGTGCTCACTCCCCACTTTATAGGTGGACCGGTTACAGAACTCACCTAGGGCCACCATGTTTGCAGGTGAGAGCCGTGAATTGGATCCAGGGCTGTCTGAGCCATAAGCCCGGTGCTTTCATCACCAAGGAGAATTTGGTCCACCGGGCGTGAAATGGTTCTGACTCCTTGGCTGCAGCCTCTGGTGTCAGCAGTCTGACATCACTGGAGCCTGGTGAAGGGCTCAGCCCTGGAGAGCCTGTGGGGGCCTGAGCTGAACTGATTCCATGCCAGTGGGACTCTTCTTGGGACAGCATTTCAGGGAAGAGGAATTGCAGGGGCTTACCTGTATTGTTTGGGAAGAAACAGTCACCTGTTCTGTGTTTGACCTGATTTCCACACTGGAACTCACATCAGAAGCCTATGGAGAAGTCCCCTGAACCAGACGCCCCTGCTCTGTTGCTTGAGAGCTAGAGGCAGTGACTAGTGGTCCAGCCTATCATCACTGTCAATCCCTGACGCCCCATCCAGGGAGCCATAGAAGACCAGGTGCTCCCAGTTCAGGGCAACAGAGTCAGTTTTCACTGACTCTGGGAAGTCTGGGTCAAGAGCAGGCTTCACTTGCAATGGTACTGATGTATCCAGAAATGAGAGTCCAAGAACCCGGCCCTTTTACCACCTGTGCTTCTGTGAAATGGACATTTTACATGTTCTGGAATGGGCTAAGATTAGGGTCTAAATTACCTCAAAGCCCGTGAAATGAAATTCATCATGTTTATAGGTGCCTTCTTGGATTTATAGAGCTATAAATATCCTCCATGCAATTATTGTATACCTAGTCAGATCGCAGTACTGAATTATGCACAAACATAAGCAGATGTATTGCTATTTATATAAGTAAATGAAATGGAGCAATTAGCCATAATTACATTAGGCCACACTGCCACAAGACTGCTTAAGAAAACTTGTAACTCTGGGGGCAGTTGTGTACAGAGACGCCTAGAGTAGACACTGTTTCCCAGAGGGCACCCCAAGTAGTTGTCTTTAGGCTCATGTGGCTTAGAAGCCATATAGGGAATTATTGTTGCATTGAAAGAACTGCTTGCCCAGCTCAGCAGCCTGGGCTTTGCAGGAACAATGTAGCTGCCTTGTGCTTGTACCCTGCTTCACAGGGTTCCAAGACACTTCACCTGATTCTATTTTCTTACTCAATTCCCTAGGATCCCTCTGGGATTGTTATTATACTTTGCAGGCAGGGTCAACGTGGGGGAGAGGACTTAGGTCCTTTCCCTAAACATTTGGCCAAGGCTGCTCTGAGCAGGAGCAAAAAGGGAGTCACATAATATCCCCCCCTCCCCACCAGGTTCTGTCACGGCTTGGGACTGCTAAGCTCCCTTTGCGCACTTGCCAGGCAGCACCTGGATGTGTGCGCTCTCCATGCAGGGAAAGAAACATGGATTCAGTCCACTCTTAAACATTTAAAACACAAGGGCTGCTGTGAATCAGGGTCAACTCGATGGCAGTGGGTTTTGTTTTTTTGGGCAGGGGTGGGCAGTGGGAGGATGCTCCTAATTACATTAGTTAAATCAGCTGCACAAGACCTCATTAGAGTCTGAAAAAGCAGTGATGTTACTTTGAGGACCAAGGTGCGCCCTTGACCGAAGCCAGGATATTTTCGACGACCTCAGATGCATGTGAAAGGTGGCCCTGAGTGAGGACCACTGAAGAGGAACTTTGGGGCTGGCGCAAAATATTGACAGTGGCACGAGCTGCCCAAAGGACTTCTTGGAAGAAGCAAAGCCGGAGTGCTCCTTATGGGCAAGGACGGTGAGACTTTGTGGAGCACTCCTTATGGGCAAGGA